CGGTACAAGCTCTGCATATATATCCACGGCGGTGCAACAGCGAGTCTATGGGTACATAACGGGCGACGGGCTGGCTTACCGCCTGATTCAAGACGGTACAAGCACTGCTTCCACGAAGGTACAACAGCGAGTCTATGGTACATAACGGGCGACGGGCTGGCTTACCGCCTGATTCAAGACGGTACAAGCACTGCTTCCACGAAGGTACAACAGCGAGTCTATGGCTACATAACGGGCGACGGGTTGGCTTACCGCCTGATTCAAGACGGTACAAGCACTGCTTCCACGAAGGTACAACAGCGAGTCTATGTGTACAATATGGAAAACGGGCTGGCTTACCGCCTGATTCAAGACGGTACAACCACTGCATACATATCCACGACGGTACAACAACGAGTCTATGGGTACAATATGGAAAACGGGCTGGCTTACCGCCTGATTCAAGACGGTACAACCACTGCATATATATCCACGACGGTACAACAGCAAGTCTTTGGATACAGTCTTGGCGTCGAGCTGGCTTACCGCCTGATCCAAGGCGGTACAACCCCTGCATATATATCCACGACGGTACAACAGCGAGTCTATGGATACAGTCTTCGCGTCGAGCTGGCTTACCGCCTGATCCAAGACGGCACAATCACTGTCTCTACCACCTCAACCCACCCCACATCCAATAGGCCATCAAATATAAAATATATCCCCCACCCCATTATCTTAAAATCCTGTATCCGCCCCCACCGTACATGACACCCTCCCCAACACACACAATAATATTTTGTAAATACACAATGGTAAAGACGAATAAAATACAGTAATACAATTTCCTAATACAACCGAAAGGGGCGTTGGTCAACACAACACTTGACCACGTGGTTGAAAGTCTATTCTGCCAACCTATCAACCTATCCCCATGTTTAGTATACATATATATACGTTGTTAATGATGGTTTGACTCAAGTAACTGGCAGTATTGTTCATTTCGTTGTGTAAAAGACGTTAAAAGATGGTACTTGTTGTTACCCTGTCTGCCGCTCGGCATTAAGGGGCTAAAACAAGGACCGGTCGGCTCGGAGTCAGTATACTGTGTCTGAGTGGGGTATTCATGTTAAACTTCGGCATGGTATCTCAGTGTGCTAGCACTATAAGTCGGCATCAGTCCGGACTAGTAGAAGCAGCCACACACACGTGCATGCACGTCGCTATATAAGTGCAATAATTTTGGACGCGACGTTAAACCCCATTTCACCTCACCTCACCTAATTACACAATTATGTTCTCACCACTGACCACCATGGTTTGACCAGCACTGGACAAATAATGTGATCTAACACAAATTACTTCACGTGAGTCTCACATATCCGTCAAAGGCATCACAGATCACAGTAGTATACATGTACACAGTAGGATTTCTGCCACGCTGATAAAAAAGTCACGAGATAAACATTAGTTTTAATAATCTCTGTGATATTTAAAAAGTTTGTTTTATCTTAGCATCATGTCATAATGTACAAATGTATTTCGTAACGGCCAAACCCTGATGTGCTAATATAAAACAGAAGTCAACCCCGTATAAATATTTTTAATACACGTGTCATTATTTCTTATGATGAAAACGTGTATGTATGTAAGCATGTACATTTTACTCAACTCATCTCCAATAATTCCGCCACGATTGGCCCGTCTGCTTTGCATATTGTGTCTATCATTTCTTCAATAATTGGGATGAGATTTAAATACACAACATATCTGTCTCTTTATTTGCAATCATGTTTTGATAATGGCATCGTCAAGGGTTCATTTTAACACAGTGAACACGCCCCGATTCCTAAGTATACAAAGGTCATTCACCTGTAGCAATTTTCCCGAAATGTTCTCACTTCCCAGCTCGCGTGCCCCCAACCTCGACGTTCACATCAAAAGCATGCCGCCAGGTAAGTTGACTGTTCACCTGTACAGGTGATCGCGACCATGACGAGTAGTCGGTCATCCGACACCTCATCACAGACTCGTGTTGACATAAGTTAAGATGGCTTTTCACCTGTACAACGTAGCGCCTATATACCTACCTGTGGGCATGACCTGATCGCTGTATCATTGTTTGCATTGTGATTGGTTCTGATACAGGTGATCTTGAGTAAACATTTAAACTTATTTGTCGCGTGATCTCCATTTGATGCAAAGGAAGCCGATCTCAAATCAATCTTGTGAATTTGGTATGGTTATTTTGTACCTTTAGTGTAATTGACCGTGCTTTAATGAGAGAATGATGAGGCATTACTACACACGACACCGCCTCTATTTAACACTGTGTAATCATTTATTTGTTCTTTACGCTTCAACTAGCAACAACGTTATTTAAGACGTACCAGGCGTGTTTAATTAACACCGACAGTTTCTTTGAAATTTTGCCTCGACGAAACAGAATTAGGGTAACGTTTGATGTTGCATCTTCACCGCATATGATAACCATACACCATCTCCTTTAGTGGCGTCTTGTAACTGAGTGTGGTACGGGAAAGGGGGCAAGAAGTTGTTCTATAACGTTAAACGCTTAAACTATAAATAATCTGAACTAGAGATCATCTTGTTTTTCCAACACAACATGCCATATGGAATCTATGTTGTTTAACGCCGCTCTCAGCAATATTCCAGCTATAATATTCCAATATGACGGCGGTCTGTAAATAATCGAGTGTGGATCAGACAATCCAGTGATTGACATCATGAGCATCGATCTACGCAGTTGGGATATGATGACATGCATCAACCAAGTCAGCGAGCCTGACCACCCGATCCCCTTACGACAAGCATAGTCGCCTTTTACGGCAAACATGGGTTGCTAAAGACCTATTTTACCCCGGATCTTCACTGGTCTCAAAGCGATTTAATGATGCATTAATTAATATTATAAAGTTGAATTGACATGCATAGCGTAACATACCTCATGCACATCGAAGATATTAAGATAAATTCATTTATTAAAATATCTGTTTGAATTGTAATCAAACAGTACACAGGTCAACGAAGCCTGCCCCAGACGGACATTGTACGAGAGCTTCAGACAATATCGTTCTGGTTATGGAACACCATATGCAGTTCGCATACTTCCGTGTTGGGTGTGTAGTGCTGTTTGTAGTGTAACGAGATCTCCTGACGCCACATTATCGGCTATGCACGTCCTTCGATCTTACTCAGTGGAGCCACAGTCTGTGTTTCGCTCCAAGAGTGGAACGAGGTTGAAAAAATAATATTTACAGAAAGGAATGCTGCACGATCGTGTGAAGTGCCGGACAAAAGAAAGTGTGTATATGAAAATTGGATTTGACCAAAGCATTACATCGTTATCAAAACATTACTAGACTGAAAACAGTCGCCGAAACACAACAAACTTTAGATCCAAGACACAACTTGGAAGCTCGTATTAACTACACCGGCATAGAACAACATTGTTGTTTCATTTGTAGCCACCATTAAACATGGTATACTTTCTTTTGCCCGACAGTGTATTTATACGGTCAGCGCATGCGTCGACATGCTGTCATGTTTATTAAGATTCTGTATGTGATTTGAGACATACTAACCAGTTAAAAATAAGCATTTTGATTAAAAGAAATGTTGGAGTCGAATTTGAGTTTGTTTGTGTTTGATATAATTACATTTTGCTCACAACACTAGAATTTACAAAGGCCTTACATATATCTCGTAGAGACCAATGAGACTTATTGTGTCTGGCTGAACAACGCATTACTCATTAATAGATATGTTGTGTTCATGGTAACAACATTGTTCTCCCTGTTTAGAACCTTTGGAACCCCGCTCCCCTGTTAATAACACGACAAACTACATGTGACCTTTTTCATAAAATCACCATACCCGTGAAGATCCGGGGTAGAATAGGTCTTCAGCAACCCATGCTTGCCGTAAAAGGCGATTATGCTTGGCGACTTACGGGATCGGGTGGTCAGGCTCGCTGACTTGGTTGATGAATGTCATCGATCCCAATTGCGTGGATCGATGCTCATGATGTCAATCACTGGATTGTCTGGTCCACACTCGATTATTTACAGACCGCCGTCATATTGCTGAGAGCGGCGTTAAATAACAAACAAACAAATCATAAAATCACCAAACAAAACATTTGAAAAACTCCCGTTGCGGTGATACCGACGAACAAAAAAAATGAATACATACAAACAGCATTTTTTAAAACTTGTTGAGCGATTCTTGTGGTGGAGCTTACCCCAGTTGATGGGGGCCTAGCTTTATTTGAATACTGTACCTGATCGGCGTTCCAGTACTGAAGCATCCTCTTTTCCAGAAAGTATGTACTTATACTTTTACGTTTTACACTAAAATAGACCCGTGAAGACCCGGGGTAGGACAGGTCATCAGCAACCCATGCTTGCCGTAAAACACGACTATGCTTGTCGTAAAAGGCGACTAACGGGATCCGATGATCAGGCTCGCTGACTTGGTTGACGCATGTCATCATATCCCAATTGCGTGGATTGATGCTCATGATGTCAATCACTGGACTGTCTGGTCGAGACTCAATTATGTACATGCCACCGTCACATAGCTGGAACATTGCTGAGTGCGGCGTTAAATAACAAAAGATACACTGAAATAACTTTAGAATTGTTTATGGGTCAAAAACGTTACATACCAGATGGACCACGTGACTAGGTATAAATACTACCATTTCTACTATTAGATTGCGGGTTTATTTTCAGAAGGTATAATTTTTTCATAGTGCTTGCTGTTATTGTTTGTCGTAAGTAAAGTCGTAGTGTTGGTCCTCCGCCCTCGCGAAAGCTAAAAGGAGCGTGGGAAGTCGATTCTCTGCCCTCTCAATCTTCCCCCCCCCCCCCCCCCCCCCCACACACACACACACACATACACTACAACCCCGCCCCAGTTGGGTAAGTGAGGTTGGGTGTCTGTCCCTGAAGGGTGTGTGCGGGGTTGGTTCTTTATTCCCGCGCAAACTGAAGCGGCTATGGGGGTTTGACCTCCGTCCCCGCGCCAGCTGGAACGGGTAGGCGTTGGGGGTCACTGTCTACCTCGCCAGCTGGAACGGGTAAGCGTTGGGGGCCACTGTCCACCTCGCCAGCTGGAACCATTAGGCGTTGGGAGTCACGGTCTACCTCGCCAGCTGGAACGGGTAGGCGTTGGGGGCCACTGTCCACCTCGCCAGCTGGAACGGGTAGGCGTTGGGAGTCACTGTCCACCTCGCCAGCTGGAACGGGTAGGCGTTTGGGGTCACTGTCCACCTTGCCAGCTGGGACGGGTAGGTGTTGGGGGTCACTGTCCCCCTCGCCAGCTGGAACGGGTAGGCGTTGGGAGTCACTGTCTACCTCGCCAGCTGGAATGGGTTGGGTTGGGGGTCACTGTCCACCTCGCCAGGTGAAGGGAGTATCGGGGTGGCCCTCTGTCCCCGCGCAAACAGAAGCGGGTAGGAGATGGGGTCTCTGTCCCCTGCACCAGCTGTAGGGTGATGAGGGTTGGCCCTACCCCCCAGTCCCGCTGAAGGGAGTATGGGGGTGGCCCTCAGTCCCTGCGTTTACAGAAGCGGGTACGAGGGGGGCCTCAGTCCCCCGCGCCAGCTGAAGGGGCTGTGGGGGTTTCTCTGTCCCCGCGCCAGGTGAAGCGGGTATAGGGAGTTCTCTGCACGTCTCCCTGTACAGGGTGATATACTTGTTGGTTCAGTAATCACGCACCGCTGGTATCAGACACTAATTACAGAGTATCACCTTTACATCTCTCTCAGCTTGACGTACACGATAGTATCTGGCTATGTATGACTGATGTACCCGACTTTCTGACCGCCGACGGGATCATATACTTTACGTAGCCTGCTAACAGGAGTAACACACCGGTACACGATGAACGACACAACGACGGGACGTTTATGGTGGAATGGAGTAGAACATTGTGTCCCACCCTGGACCTTATAGCACATATGGTAGCACTATGTTCTAGGTTAAAGAGTGGTCTTTCTCGAAGTACTGTGTACTAAATATTGAACAAACTACGGATATGGCTGATATCGACTATGGCGATGCTTATCACTACTGAATCTACTACGGGTACAGCGAATATCGACTACTTCATACTGAACATACTATGGATATGGCGAATATCGACTATTTCACCGTCTATGACATGCTGAACGTACTACAGATATGGCGAATATCGACTATTACACCGTTCATTACACACTGAACCTACTAGGGATATAGCGAATATCAAATATTCGAATATTGCAGTATTTAGCACATACTGAACCTACAACAGGTATATCAATTTTTGCATTATTTACTGATTCTAAACCTGATATATCGAAAGTTGACTATAGTATATATACAGAGCATACAAACCTACAGTTTACAAGATGCAGGCACTACAGCACACAACACCCAGACCTACAGTTTACTTAGATGCAGGCACTACAGTTTACTGAGATAGTACTGGTCCTAAAGTTTACTTAGATACTAGTCTTATATTGCACAAGGTACTAGTCCTACAGTTTACTGAGATACCTGTCCTACTGTTTACGTAGATACTGGTTCTACAGCTTACTCAGATAGCGGTGCTCCAGTTTACTTAGATACTGTTCCTAAAGTTTACTTAGATACTGGTTCTACAGTTTACTTAGATACTGTTCCTACAGTTTACTTAGGTACTGGTCCTACAGTTTACTTAGATACTGGTCCTACAGTTTACTTAGATACTGGTTCTACAGTTTACTTAGATACTGTTCCTACAGTCTACTTAGGTACTGGTCCTACAGTTTACTTAGATACTGGTCCTACAGTTTACTTAGATACTGGTTCTACAGTTTACTTAGATACTGTTTCTACAGATTACTTAGATACTGGTCCTACAGTTTACTTAGATACTGAGCCTACAGTTTATTTAGATACTGGTTCTACAGTTAACTTAGATACTATTCCTATAGTTTACCTAAATTAGATACTGGATCTACAGTTAACTTAGATACGTTTATAGTCTCGTGGAAAGTGTTTAGTCACTCTGAAACTATGTGTAAGATCTAAATATGAAACAGATGAGGTCTCATTGGTGGCCTTTATTTCTAGTTCAGGTGGTTAAATCAGTGGAAGGGTCTTGGCTATTCGACGGTTATTTGAACGATATCAAAGCAGAAATTCCAATATATAAACATAAAGAAGCAACTCAGCAATAAGGGGAGCACAGTTGATTACCATGGGATGACCACTTCTTGCCTAAATATAAACGTCTTACTCCGAAAGTTTACATAGATGTTAACAACGAGGAAGTCCAGCGCTTTACAAATTGTTTTCAAAGTAAACTTTAAATTTTATTAGCTTTAATGTTGATAATTGCCTTGAACTTGTGAAGCTACATATGTAAGTTTATCATATAATGGGTAGGTTTCTCGGCAGGATAAAGCCAACGGATAAAAACGATATCCGTTGGGGTCATATGCGGATAGAGATGCAAATATCAAAGGTCAAGTAGGACTACTTTCACTGTTTATAAACAAACATGGCGTCGCCCTGGTCATTCGGCGATCGAGTCAGAATTAAACATCGGGAATCTGGATAAACTACGGGGATAATTGCCATCATTATCAAAAGAACAGTCTCATATACTGAAAATCAGTGTCTAAATGTGACGTAGCTAAGCCTTTTTATAAGTTTTTCGAACAATTTTTCGCGGGCACGAGGCCTAGCCAAGCGGGATCAGTAGCCATATCTGTGCTTGTAGACCTCTGCGGCTTGAAACCTTCTCCAAAAATTAAAATAGTTGGATTTTGCCGAAATATGTTTGAATTGTTACCGTGTTTCGTTTTGTCGCTGTGTGTACATCTGACTACACTTCTTAACGTTATAACAGGACAGACCGACTGTCAACAACGTCTGACCGTGGCCGTGACGTCTCATAGACTAGGGTTAGAGTAGCTTCCCTTTGACAAAGGGCAGTTACTCTAGCGAACAGACCGATGGATTGCCGCGAAAGGCAATAAAAAACAACTGTTGTTTTGCGTATATGTTGCTTCGCCAGTGTATAAGAAACAAATTTCAGTTGGAACTATATTGGCTACTGTCACAGTCCGACTGACACATCACTTACCATGTGACGTAATAAATATTAATGCGCGCATTCCAGGAAAACTCGCAATGTTTCGGTAATGTTTGTGAGAGAGGGAAAGCGATTTTAAAGCACAGAATTAAAGAATGACATTATATGATAAAGACGTTATCACGCTTGTGTGTTTAGGGATGGTACAAATCCTGCATTAGGAATAAACACTAGCTCGCCAAGACTCGCTAAATACAATGTTTTAACAAGACACGGATATGATAATAGAGGTATTGGTAAGTAATTGAAGACACGGATATGACAATAGAGGAATTCATAAGTCATTGAAGACACGGATATGACAATAGGAGCATTCGTAAGTCATTGAAGACACGGATATGACAATAGAAGCATTCGTAAGTCATTGAAGACACGGATATGACAATAGAGTAATTCGTTAGTGTAATTAATTGAAATGTATTATCCCTTTGTTATTAAGTCCAACCATGCATGCATTTATATTGGAAAAAATACAAAGTGTCTTAAGAGAAAAATACAACATAACCTCATCCACAATCAACGTTATGTCTCGATAGGGTCTGAAATGAACTAAGAAGTTACATGTTACATGCATACCTTGTCCTGCACCTTGACCGGAATATATGTAGTGTATAAAACCAAAACTAATAAAAGAATAAAGTTCAGCCAGAAATCAGCATGAGGAAAAACAATTAGGGGTAGGAATTGCATTGTTTAATAAAATATTTCATAGACTGTATGTTAGTTTAAATGCAAACAGATGTAAGACAATGATGGTTTGAAGTTAATACGAAATGCAACCACAATGAATTATTGTTGTTTTAAATGTGTTTTTATTAACCCACCCCGTGTTCAACATTCAATCATAAATATATGTTCCCAAGCTGGTGAATATATCTTTCCAAAATGTTTCACTATTGATAGCATGTGACCCACAGCAGGCGACTGCAGCCACTGTATCAGATAACTGTTGACGGGTGGCGCGGAATGTGTAGGTGTAGTGTGGTGCGTGTTGGTGCGTGTTGGTGTGTGTGTGTGTGTGTGTGTGTGTGTGTGTGTGTGTGTGTGTGTGTGTGTGTGTGTGTGTGTGTGTGTGTGTGTGTGTGAATGTGTGTATGTTTTTTTGTGTGGGCTTCTTTTTCTTTCTTTTTTGGGTGGGGTTAAAAGCTTAGGGGTCGGGGAGGGTTGGTGGTGGTGGTTGGATTTTAAAACAAATTTATCTTGATGTTTTATCCCTCAATACTGTTTGTTTTTATCCTAAAAACGATCTTTTTATCCACAAAAAAATATTTTTTGCTCACCCCTTAAAAGACCCAAACAAAACCAACAAGAAGAAACACATATAACCCAAAAAGGTGTTCGTTGGACATGCTGAATGTCGTACACAGACATGAAAAAAGCAACTGCGTATTTGAAGCAGTGGCGAAATAATTTTTATCCTGTCTCTAACAACCACCTCCTCCATCAACACGTACCCTCTCCTCAAAATATCGAAATCGTCATTCCAGGGCCTCAACACATCTTACTCTGTCTTCACGTTGAATGGTGTTAAATCAAGCACATGTTTCTGTATATCTTGCTGGCACAGACAATTTAGGCCAGAATGTACACCATTGGGCAAGCAACATGCATTTCAGACAAGTATGGACATTCCTAAACAGGAACGTACTGTAAAACAGACCACCATATACAGAAAGTACGGTTATAACGAACTCAAAGGGACTACTTATTTTAGTTCGTTTTAACCGTAGTTCGTTATAAGCATATATACAGCATAACTACAGCAAATAGTCTGGACCAAAAAAGTAGTTCGTTATATCCGTCAGTTCGTTATAAGCGTGTTCGTTATAACCGTACTTTACTGTAGATTACTGGGCTACCGTGCATAGTTCCTGGCTAGCATGAACATTAATTGATTTGCATGACTTGTATATTATTAGTCTAATGTAAAGATTACCAGACTAGTTTGTAGAGTCTTTGACAAATATACGACCAGCGTATATTTATGCACATATATATTTGGATAAAGTGTATATTATTAAGCTAGTAAGGACATTGTTCGACTTGCATGAACATTACTAGACTATAATAGGCTTGATAAGACTGGCATGAACATAACTATATTAATGTGAACATGATAAACCATTGTGACCATAAATAGATGATTACAATGAACATGATTAAAGTAGCATTAACATTACAAGCCTAGCATTACATTATTACATATGGTAAGACTAGCATACATGTTATTAGCATTGC